TCAGCAGGACATTACAGTGATAGAGAATCTGTGACTCCGCAAGACGAACAGAAAGAAAAACCTGTTAGTCTGCCTAGCCTCCCAAGCATCAGTGCTCATAGTGTACTTGGCCAATTTCTTTTCGATGTGTGTGTTCCGAAGAATGTTGAGGGTTGGGATGTGAAATTTTCTGGGAATCTAAATGGGAGGTCGTGTGCTTCGGCTCCTAGGCATTCACCTTTCAGAGGTACTAAACGCATTGGTCGGTCCAAATTATAAAGTTGTTCCCATATCTGACTCGAGGAGATACCTTATGGTAAACATCAGCAATTTTCCTAGACATCACAGGAAGATAGTTTAGATTTTGGTGCAATAGGTGGCAGTGGAAGTGTAAAATGGTTGCAATGGCTCAACTATTAATTCCTTGGCACTTATGAGAAAATGATGGGGTGATATGGATACAGGTTACCTGAGTTCCATCCTTTCTGAATGCCCTCAGAAGTAAACAAACACATGACTGTTGTCATAGGAGAGCTTCTGATAGTCCAAACTGGTTGTTACTTGGCTATGGTAATTGCATTTGCATGAAATGGTATAAAACTGTACTGACTTATTTGTTATTAGAGCAAGAAAATAGCTGTGCATATTATATATTTTTGAGGGAATAAAACTTTTCATGTTTAAGGCTGGAAGAGACTTGTAAATAAGACATGTCTAGCAATGTACAGAAGAGGAAAAAGAGGGATATAATCCCTCTTCTGTTGTTTTACTAGGTTTTTTTGTTAGCAGGATTTCTGCATCTTTTTCATAATGTTGTTTGGCAGGAGTTAAGTTTCTCGATGGAGAAATGATGATTGCATGCAAGCACAACTTCCACAAAACTGAGGTTTATATTGTTAAGACGAGTACCTAAGATAATTATAGCTAACTGAAATCATGAATTTTTTTATGTGAATATGAGTAACGTTACATTCCATTAACTCAAAGTTGACTTGACTAGAATCTAATAGAATCATTATGAGCAGTGAAGTTTTTTTCTTAAGCTTTTAATGCAGTTAAATTCTCAATTGAATTCAAAATCCGTAATACTTCCTTTGGATAAAGAGTGAAATTGAGAAGTAAAAAATAAGAATAAGGAAAAGAAAATAGGGGATATTGATTGAAGTGATTTTTAGGTAAAATTTTGTATTGTTTAGATCGATAGAAATTAAAAGGAATGATAATATGATATAGGGTGATTTGATTTTATTTGTTTGCTAATATAATAAAAGTGAAGGAAAAATATGAAAAATGATTTTATCTGTATAATTAAATTTAATTTTAATTTAAATGGAGTCTAAAATTTAAAACAATTTTAATCTAATAATAATTAAATGATTTTATCTGTATATGTTATAATTTATTTTATTTAATTTAAATTAATTTTAAACACAATATTTCAGTCGAGCTGATACGTATAAGTTTTATGTTATAACATGTACCACTTGCAGGTCCAGGGAATTATAGGCTACCAAAGAATGAAAGAGATCAAAGTCTTTCATGCATAACACCATATCTCAATCGAAATATTTTTTATTTATTAATAAAATTTATAATACCATCAGGGGAGGAGCTATAGGGCCTAGGGGAGGGAGGGGGGAACTGGGGTTACCACGGTCCCTTGTAGGTTCCTTTAAAGATTTGTATATAAAAATATTTTGTGATTTTCCTAAAAAAAAAAAATTGATATTGACTCCTGTTAAGATGATGTCTTGCTTCCACTACATATGATAATAAATTTGAATTTAAGACATTATATATGTTAATATTTGTAATTAAATATCGATCATAGTACGTGGTTGAAATACTTGAATGGAACTGATTCTTAAATGCATGTAAGAACCAAGCAATGTATACTTATAATGATGAATTAATGATCATATATATGTCATCTCTCAGTGTGAATGCATGCGTAAGAGTGTAACGTTGCTTATACGTGATGTCCTCTAATCTTAAATGATTAGTTTGCCGCCGTACCCCGCTTTAATACAACGTTGAAAGGAATTATTGGAAGTTCTGAAAGCAAGCTTCTCTATCTTTGCTACTCAAAATAAACAAAGAAGATAATAACAACTGATTTAAGTTTAGATTTTCTTGTTTTCACCCCTTTGCTCGGAACTCTTTTGTGAAGACGACAACAGAGTCTTCTATTTAACTATTTTGCCCTTCAAAGCTCTTAAAGGTTTTGACTTTCAATCGGAGAGTGTTTTACTTTTTCTCCTTAAATTAAAGAAGAGTGCTAATAATACAATTTTTAACAAAAAATTAATTAAAAATTATAAAATTAAGAAAAAGATATTAGATAGGATGTGAGATCAACCAAATTTTATTCTTCAATCAATTAAAGTGTATGTGTATAAAAGAGTGTGTCAAATACTGTGCTACTAGTATTTCTTTAAATCAAACTACTGAATTTTTTCCTGTGTGGCTGGGAACACCATTCTTGCTAGACATTTGCAACTTTTGCTTCTCAATTTGTGACTTCCAGTTCCAGAGCAAGCTGCTCCAAATTTGATTGGCACTGTATAATATTTAATGAGGGAGATAATGGACTTAAAAGAGCCTCACCTTTCAGTTTAAGTTGGTCGTTCTTTTACTAATTGATAGGTTATATTCTTATATTTGAACCCATTTATGCTATTTTCTGTTCCTTGATAGTTAAAATGGTACATTTACATGCATGATATGTTATACTATAACCAGTTTTGGTAAAATCTGGTTTCCTCATGAAATCTTGATTAAGTCACCCTTAGCCATGGTTTCCTCACAACCCTTAGCTCCAAAAAACAGATATCACAAATATCAGCACATGTACACAACCAGAATCAATAATCAACGAAATTTGTATCAACACAGACATACACGTAGGCACAAATACACTAACCTCGCCTCTTAAGCTATGATTCACACTTCCTCAAAATGAATTTGTTGTTATTTATTACAAATGGCAAAGGCGCAACATTGGAGAATGAGAACTGATGATTTTGTTGTTGGGGTTTTTGTTGAACAATCCTAAATTACTACTATTGTTTTTATTTTTCAAAACTAGAATGAGAGAAATATAGTGCAATATATTCTCTGATATTCTTTTACTGACATTTTTTTATTGGGTGAAATTCATATCATCATCTCACTAAATATGAGTTTCTTTCCTTGTTTTGCGAGTACATTTCTCAAACTAGTAAAATCTACATGAATTTTAAAAAATAAAAAAGTATATTAAAAAGAGAACTCGTTACTAGGAATCCCCAACCACAATTATCCTCTATAAAATATGGAGAGAAAAAATTGTATGAGATAGAAAGTTAGTATATAAAATTAACATAAAAGCATAAATTTTTAAATATAGGATACAACTAATATTTCTAACATAAAAGGGAAATAAAAGTTGCCCCCATGCAGGATCGAACTACAGACCTTCAGTTTACAAGACTGACGCTCTACCACTGAGCTATAGGGGCTCCGTTGAGGGTGAAAGTCAGAAAACAAATTTATATTTTGTAGAAAACACTAACGAGCAACCGCTAAAAATAATTTTGCTCAAAAAATCTTTTAAAGTAGACCAACATTTTAACGTGTGAAATACAAAAATTAAATATTTATTATATAATTAAAATTTATGATGAAGTATATATAGAAAAAAAACATTATATTTTGATATATAAATTATATTTAAAATTTATATAT